TGTTGCAGCTGTTGACCAGCTCATGAAGGAGTATTCTGATCTCTTTGAATTTGACCTATCGTCTGGGGCCAAGATTGCCACACGTCATCCCATTCCAACCGGGGATGCTCGTCCAATCAAGGTTCCTGTTCGTCGTCGGTCACCCAAGGAGATCAAGATTTTACGTGCAAATGTCAAGGAGATGTTGGAGAAGGGTGTTATTCGGAAGTCACGGAGTCCTTGGGCATGTGAACCTCATCTTGTGATGAAGCCTGATGGGAGTATTCGTTTCTGCATCGACTATCGTCCATTAAATGAAGTGACGATCCCGGACGTGTACCCTCTTCTTCACACTGCTGATCTCTTGGATCGTCTGGGGCGAAGTCGTTGGTTCACCAAGCTAGATCTTGCTTCTGGGTATTCGCAAGTACCGATGGCTGAAGATGATATTCCTAAGACTGCTTTTCGTACACCATTTGGTTTGTACGAGTTTTTGGTGATGCCGTTTGGTTTGAACAATGCTCCAGCAACTTTTCAGCGGATGGTGGACGAGGTTCTTTGCGATATGCCAGAGGTGACGGCTGACTTCATTGATGATGTCTTGATCCACTCGGAGGGGACGTGGGAGGAGCATGTTCGTGATGTTTGTAAAGTGTTGGATCGGCTACGCGACGTTGGTTTAAAGCTGAAGCGGTCGAAGTGCGTGTTTGGGTCCAAGGACACAACTTATCTTGGGTACCGTATTTCTCGTGAGGGTTTGCAAGTTGATCCTGACAAACTTGTGGCTGTTCTAAAGTTCCCTACTCTGAAGTGTGTGAATGATGTGCAGCGCTTTTTGGGTAAGGTGCAGTATCTCAGTCGTTTTGTGGATCATCTTTCCGATCGCACTATACCATTGCGAGCGTTGCTGAAGTCATCAATGTCATCTTTCATCTGGTCTCCCGATTGTGAGCGGGCGTTCGTGAATCTCAAAGAGCTATTGACGACTCCTCCGGTTTTAGCATATCCTGACTACACTCGACCTTTTATTTTGCGCGTGGATGCTTCTGACATTGGTCTTGGAGGTGTGTTGATGCAAGAGAGCTCGAGTGTGCCTGGTCAGCGCCATCCCATTGCCTACATAAGCCGTACATTACAACCAGCGGAGATGAACTACTCCACGACGGAGAAGGAGTGTTTAGCAGCAGTCTGGGGTTTCGAGAAACTTCATGCCTATCTACATGGTTCTCGGACGTTACTTGAAGGTGACCATGCTGCTGTTACTTCATTATTGAAGCGGAAGAACCTGGTTGGTCGTACGGCTCGATGGGCTTTGAAGCTTCAGATATATGATTTCGATGTTTTTCATCGCCCAGGGAGTTCTATGGCTGATGCTGATGCCCTTTCTCGAGCTCCTCTTCCTTCTCCACTCACTTCTCATGTTTCTGACGAACCTGTTGTTCCAGCATCTGTGGATTTTCTAGATGAGGATTCTGTGCCGTCGGCGGTTGCTGTCCTTGACATTCAGTGTCCACAGGGCGTAGAGCAAGATCTACCTTCTCTGGATGAGGTTCGCAAGGCTCAGAAGATTGAGCCGTGGATTCGAAGGCTTCAAGATGGGTTTGAGAATCCTGCATCACTTGCTAATGACTTGCCTTTTCGGCATTTACATTCTCAATATCGCCTTGAAGATGGCCTTCTTTATTTTGTGGGGACGGATCCTGATGCTCATTTACGGCTGGTGGTGCCTTCGGTGTTTATTCCGCGGTTTCTCCATGCCTACCATGATTCTCCTATTCTAGGTGGGCATATGAGACACCGTCATGTCACCGAGAAGCTGCGCAGATCTTTCTATTGGCCAGAGATGCGACGTGATATTATCCGGTATGTGCGTAGCTGCGTTTGGTGCCAAGCTCGTAATACTCCCCCTTGTGCTGTGGAAGGACGGTTGGAGTCAATTGCAGTTTCTCGTCCGTTTGAGTTGGTGGCGTTTGATCTTATGGGACCTTTTCCGCGATCGACTGCTGGCAATGAGTATGTTATTATTGCTTCTGACTACTTGACTCGTTGGGTGGAAGTTGGTGTTCTTGCTAGTGCCTCTACAACTACTGTTGGATACTTCCTCCTCAATCGAGTGGTGTTCCAGCATTCTTGTCCAGAACGGATTCTTTCGGATAATGGTCCTGCATTTATGGCTGAGGTATTTCATGTTTTGACATCTCGGTTGGGGATACGCCACACTTTTACGAGTGCTTATCATCCTTAATCAGACGGTCTGGTGGAACGGC